AGCTTCTGAATTCAGAAAATACTGAATTCAGAAAAGACGAGATGGCCAATGGTGTGTGCCATATTTCTTCGGGGTTCCCTTATTTTCACCAAGGCCATTTTCATCTGATACTGGCTGCACAGGACAGCATTAATTCTATGTTTCTCTAACACACTTCTGGTTCATTTCCCTCCACAAACAGCCACTTACCATTTGGATTGGAGGTACCATCTGGTCATCAGATCTACTCCCCACAATTTAGTTGATGACCTATGAAATGCTGGTCTCCCCCACCCAAGAGAAAGAAAGACAACAGGCAGTCTTCTGCTCAGAATGAATCTTTCTTTGGGCAGGGAGAGCTCCAAAGTTGTGCCGAGCAAAACAGATGGGTGCAGGGATGAACCTGCTGACCCCCTACTCAGATAGGGGTTCCCTGAAATTGGCTTTCCCTCTGAGCAACTCCTGAAAATCCAGTTAGTGCAATTTGAGTTAATGGGCCCACCTCCAGCCACTTTCTGAGCAGCTGTGGAAAGGGGGAACTTTCCTGTCTAGCAGTATGGTAGGTCCAGCAGACCCCAAAGCCAAGATGTGCTCACCCCTTCCTCTCCTGGCACTTCCGGCTCGTTGGGCAGGTGACGTAAAATATTTAGGGAACCTCATGAGTTTCCAGGGGCTCGGTTCAAACTCCTTGACTTCAAATCCAAACCTCAGAAAGAGGAGGAAAGGGAGAGATCTTGGAATACCCCCTCTCCCTCATTATTTAAGGAGGAAACAAACCTCAGACATCTGAAGGTGATTAATTGTCTTTATTGGAGGAAAACAAGAAGTCATCAATTTCATTATCATTATGATAGAAATCTTGATATGTGTACATGATTGTCAAGGCAGAGAATCAGTTGCTACATAGGCCCATGAACAATTTTGCAGTGCCGCAAACCTATGTGAGTTAAACTTCTTACAGAGTTTGTCACATGCATGAAATAAATGCACAATTTCCCTTCTTGGGGACAAACGTGTTTTTATGGGAAAATTGAACCAATCACAAGCCTCGTAATAATAGACGCGGGGACATTCCTGGCTTTGCCAGTTGTAAGCTTTTGGAAAACATGCTTGCTCGCTGGTGGGAAGGCTCGGAGAAGTGATGAAGGCCAATTAAGAAATCGTTCCAAATTTTCTTCTGGACAGAACATGCCTTTTATGTCTTCCAACCTGAAAGTGGCCCCAAGCTAAATGTTCTCTGAAACGCGCCACCCATCTTTGGAAACAGAGAATCTCTGTAGCCTCTTTGCTGTCACTGGGTGGCTCATCATACCCTCTGATGCTCGGGCCCTGGAAGGAGGGCGGCAGGCTTCTGTGTGTATGACTGACATCCAAGCAAACGATGCTCCTGTTGCTTCTTTCTCCCTCCAGAAAGCCCGGCTGCCAACCCCGCCCCAGGCCCTGCCCCAGAAATACAGGGCTCCTACGAGGGCCTGGCAGTCTCCATCTGTCCAGATTAAGGTTTTCCTTTGAGGACAAATTTTATTCATGTTTGGGGCTTTGGAATCCCTGGTGATGACTTATTTCTAGGACTGAAGCCTCAAACACTCCTCTCAATTTTTTTTTTCCTATCCATAAGAAAATAAAATCACCTCTAAGTAAAATAATTCAGTAAATGATCAGAAGAGAGAATCACTGTATGAGAAGTTCCCTGGGGACCAGAAGGTTAAAAACAGGGCAAATGCAGAAGCAGGCATTCATACAAAGGGTGAATGCAATGGTTTGTCCCTTTGGTGTAGAGAGAGAGACAGACACCGAGAAGCCATTCCACACTTTGCTTTTGTCCACAAAACCAGACCTGGCAGCCGCATGCTGCGGGGTTGGCTGCCAAATGCACAGCCTTTGGGTTTGCAGAAGTAGAGCGCACCCCCCTCCCCCCAGCCACAACACCTGGGCCGCTCCAGCCGCAGGTGGCAGGGAAGGCCCGGGAAGGGCTACAGCTCCTTCCAGTCTGAGGGTCTGAGTCAGAGTGGAGCAGGAGCGGGCCAGGCCTTGGCCAGCATGCGGGGCCTGCTTCACAGTGGGGCTGGGCTCCCGCGCCCTCGGCCAGGCTGCAGACCCGTGATGCGCTAGGACCACAAGTGGGGTGTGGGCAGAAGGGGGCGTGCGCTTCTGTCTTCCTTTCCCCTCCCTGCCTGCTGTCCGCCGTGGATGCTTTGGAGCCAGCTCACTGGCAGATGGGGTTTCTTGGTGTCTTCAGGAGATAAGCCCCCGTTGGAGGACTCTGTCCAGTTCACCTTTTCTATTTCAACACTTTCAACTCTGAGAACCAAAGGGCTGGAACCCTTGTTTGCAAATGTCAGGTACGCCAAGGACCAGTTGTCCCCCAAGAGAGTGGTGGGTTACATACAGGTATACATTTTTGGAAACAAACTGAACAGTGTTTGGTCTGGAATGTGTTTAAGGAAAAGGCCAACTCTTTTGTCGAGTGTGGGCAGACAGGATGCAGAAAGAGTGCTGTTTTGAGAAGAACATGCAAAGGTTTCATGCATTGGTTGAAACAGAGGACCTTCATTTTGTTGGCCAGAAGTGAGTGTGTGACCCTGGGAAAGAGTACATATTATTTCTGTTTATGAAATGGGGAGAGCTGCCCTTTGCCGGCTCTGGCTTTCCCTTCATGTAGCCAAAGGAAACCCTGTGAATCACACGGGGTGGGGAGCGTCACAGCAATCCTAGCTCTCCCGTCATTAGCCTTGGAACCAGGGCTCTCAATGGGCTGCAGAGCCTTCAACTACTGAGTTCTCTCCCCTGGATATGGTCTTCGGTTTAAAATTCCTCATCAAATATCACATCCCATGGGTTAAACAGATAAAACGGTCACTCCTAGAGAGAGAAGGGGGGTCCCTGGGGTTCCCACCTCTTTGTCCCTTGTGTTGTTGACCTTCACTCTAAAGGGGAGTTACTCTCTCCCACCCACACCCCATCCAGGATATGCTGGACACCAAGGCAGATAAATGAACAGGATGAGGTCAGTGCCAGGCAGGTAAATGGAGTCTGAGAGTTCTATGCCCAGTCCTATATCCCAATTGGCCCTTGCTTCCTAAGTGCTGGATTCTTGCTTGTTTAGCCAAAGCCATCTAGTTTTCCCCACACTGGCCTGCTGAGCTCCTCAAACATCAGGCTAACTGCTGGCTGGACAGTGGGACTCTCTCTAAGGTCACAGGCTCCCATGCAGGGAGGTAAAGCTGCTCCCTGCTCTTGAGGTGGGATTTCAGAAATGATCAGAATCATTGCCATAGTCAAGAACTCTAAACCCTACTGGCCCCCCTGGCTATGAGCCATCAGCCGCTAGTCGGGGTCGGGGAGGCCCATATGTGGGTGCACACTTGCTGCTTGTCTGCTGCCTCATGGAGGAAGTGAAAAATGGGGCACGAGGGAGGGGCGGACGGATAGGCAGCTGAGAGAGAGGCCATTCGTGGACATGATATCAACATGTCCTATTCAAGTAGGAAAAATTATCTACTTGCTCTGAGAAGCTTAGGAGACTGGTCGGGAGCTTGGGGTTGAAAGGAACCCACAATGGGTCCGGTGGCCATCCCTGAGCCTGGGCCATACACTGGCTTCCGTAGCGAGTGGAAGCCTGGGGCACGTAGGAGATGCTTAGCTCCTACGGGTGGGATCGGACATTGGCGAGGGGCCTGGGACTCAGCCGCCTGGCTCAGCAGGTCTTAACCAAAGACACATTCTGGGTTCTCTTGCTGTGTGATACGATAATAAAGCATAAATAATACCCACTGCGGTTGAAAGAGAACCTTTCTCCTGCCACAGAGGCTCTCTCAAAGAGCAAAAGTTCTTCCATGTGTTATTTCTTTTTCTCCTTTTCCTAAACGATAGGAAATGACCCGAGTCTGGCGGTGTTTAAACGGTCTTGATTTGCCTGTGTCAAGTTCAACGGAGTTCACTTTTGGGGCTGAAAGCAGTCGCCGTCTCCTCGCAGTATGTTGTGGAGACCTGAAGTGTTACAGGCCAAGCATGGCCAGAGGCTGGCCCAAACCACGGAGGGGACACTTGTGACAGACCCCACCTTTCACCTCCTCTGCACTTGTCAGGTAAGACATACCTTCAAACTAAGAGAACAGAACAGGCACCCGCATATCAGCTCTAGGAAATAACGGACTCATCCATCAGAGAACGTGGCTTCAAAAGTAGCTCTCCAAGTGCTACGGATTGCATGGAACACACAGGCCAAAGGACCGACAACCACTCAGGTACACATTACAGGGACCACATCCGGGCAAACGATCACCCTCCTTCAACTTCAGATTACCTGTTTTCTGACACTGTGGCAACACGAATGCTCCCCAATGCTTGTTAGTAAGCCACACCCTAATAAAGCCCCTGAAGAGAAACCCCATTTTCTCAGATACTCTTTCTAATCCTCGTGCCATTTTCTTCTGCCAGTAAAGCTGTTGGGCCATCCGGCAGTTCTCCAGGGACAAGCAGCGGGCTTGAGGCTGACGGCAAGAAATGCAGACTCATGGTGTCACGTGGGCAGGAGGGCCAAGGGCAGCAGGCCTCTGCAGAAGAGTGCCCCGGAAGCCCCGAGTCCCACGCTGTGCTCCATTCCGCACACTTACACACCACATGGGCCGACAATGGGGCCAGTTTGCCCGGGACACTGCCAGGTTTGGCAATGAAAGTCCTACATCCCAAGAAACTCTTCAGGCCCAGGCAGCCTGGGCCCTTTGATGACCCCGCCATCACAGGTCTTTGGTTTTTCAGCTTGCCCTGGTTAGAGGGAAGGCTTCCAGCGCCGGCTGGGCCTGGTGGACGCCGTCTCTGGCCATCCCTGTGGCGGCCAGTGTCCCCTGCATGGCAGGCCACCTCTCCTTACCACCCCCCAGGTCCACGGACTCCTTTCCAAAGCCACTTCCCTCTGCTCACCCGGATAACATTCACAGAAGGACCGGGTAAAAATCTGCAGAAAAGACTTCTAGGAGTCGGAGGCCTTTTGAAGTGTTAAGATTAGAAATGTGTTTTTAAAAAACAGAGATTAACTCGAAAACTGCATAGCTGAGAGTGGAGCTTTCTGTGTTACCCTCGTGAGAAATGGGAGCCGGGCGGGGAGTTCCCGTTGGACAAAATGGCCACTGGTTCCTTGTGGAAGGGAGGCGCTTCGTCTTTGCTGGGCATCTCCTTCACAGCGTAAGGAGCCTCTCAGGTGTAGCTTTAGTCTTGGGAGGAGAACAGGCTTCTTTATTTCTGACTGCTGACAGTGAAGGCCCCTGGGGTCTCCGGACGGCCACAGGTAGGCTGGAGGGTGGGGTGCTGGAAAAGGTTTTCTGCAGATTCCATCCCCCCTCACCCCTGCCCAAGGTGTCCCTGGAGACGACACCCCGAGGATCTGCAGAGTTGTCTTCTCAGAGAGCTGCCCCTCCAGGGAAGTGGGGAGAGAGGAGAAATAGAAGTAAAGTGCACTCTTGACCTTGGAGAGAGATTCTTGATCCTCTTATTAGAATTTTAAAAAATACCTTTACATTCCCCTTGGTGGGGGGGAAAAACAACGAAAAACATCTCTTGAAGGTTAACATAAAACTCTATCACGGACAAGCAAAAGATACAGGTCCTGGGACTCAGAAGTATAGATCAGAAGGGAGCATTTCATAAAAGGTAAAAAATAAAACCCTAAATGCACAATATTTACCGATACTTAAATAATCCAGTTAAAACCTTTTTTTTTTTTTTTTTTTTTTTTTTTTTTTTGTCATGAAAGAAAAAAATACAACAGAGACGGTTACCCATACCGAGAAGAGCGGAAACGACGGGGCTTGGGGGAGAGGACGCGGGAGGTCCATTTCGTCAGAGCTTCTGCAAGATTCGTATGTACAGCACCAGATCCTGTGACGTCAAGCTCCCTTTGAGTCAGTACAGTTTGTGAGAAATGAACACTTCAGAATTGCAGTATAAAATATGGCCATAAAAAACTTCTGTCTTCCAGTCCTGTGCAGGAAGGCGCACCATGCAAGGTGGGATCGCTCTGGAGGGGCTGCGGGCGCTGGAGGCCCCCTTCCCTGGCCCCGCCCCCTGGGGCCCCGCCTCCAGAGCCAGTCACTTGCTTCCAGAGTGCACTGTGGTCACAGTGGTGGGCCTCGGTCTCCGCTCCGCCCCCACTCCAGGGACCCCCGATGAAGAAGAAACGAGACTACAGAGTGTGGAGGGTGCCAGACCTGTAGGGGGACAGTGGACACAAGGGGTCAAAGCTCAGAAGAAAATACTCGCTTCCCTTTCCCACAGCAGGGTTTGGGGTGGGGGCCAACTTTTTACACACTTGACTAAATTTTTACCTACCTGTAGGCAAACTCTGGCAATGGGTCCTTAAAATGCTTTCTTCTTGGGCCCAACTCTTCCCTCCCATTCTCATCATCATGATTGTAAGTGTTTTGTAGTTGAAGACCACAAGGTTGAGCACCCTCCTAGGATTGGTGCTGCTTACTGAGGGAGCACTTACTAGGTACTAGGCTGCAGGCTAGGTGTTGAGTACGTGCTGTCATTATAAGAACTGTTGTCACCACAGCTCCGTGAGTAGAGATGTGAAGAATAAAGAAAGACTATGATCCCCCATCCACGCTGTTTGTGGGTGGTCTCTACTCCTGGCTAAGATGCATCTGTGACCCAGAGCGATCGTCATGGGATGTCATCTCTTCCTCCTATACCAGCAGCCCTGCCCTAGAAAAACACCTCCCAGGCTGTACCACCAAACTCCACCAAGTGCATATGTCGGCATCAGACAATCCTGATGTCGGATTGCTCCCCTGCAGCTCAGCTCCCAGCAGTGCATTTGTCTGCGACCTTCATAGGCTCCAAAAGAGGGAGATTCATTATCTGTGGGTCTACAACAGTGTGCGGTTGGGGCAAGGGATGCTCATGGAGATTTCTGGGGGAAATTTAAGGACTCACATTACCAGATAAGATGGAAAGACTATTATAGGTGGAGGGAATGCTTTTCTGAGGGTAATGGGGGTAGAAACATGATGCCCAGAGTGAGACCAAATGGAAGGGTTTCATGATCAAGGAGAAGAAGGCCAATTGGCACTGCTCTGAAGGGGTCAGGAGCCACTGGGATGGCCTATTATAGAATTAAGATAAATACACCAGAGGGTGGTGGGGATGGGGAGAGAGAAATAGACAATTGCAAGCATGTCCCCAGTGATGTGACCATCCATGCAAAGGTGAAGGACAGTGCAATATTCTTACTATGACTCAGACTGCAAGGCCAATGCACATTATAAACCTCAGCTCCAAATATCATGATCCTCATCAAAAAACAGATACTAAAAACCAATGAGATCAGGCTGTCATGAGTCTCCGCTGTCCCTTCCTCAACCCCTAACAATGGCACACGATGACAAACAAACCTCACAGGAAGGAGACAGACAGGACAGTGTCCAGACTTTCGTCCACACAGCCACAGCCACATGGGACTCGAGCCACGGATTTATCACCTCCAACTGGGCATAGCGACACCCCACTGTTGCGTGAACATCCAACAATGGGACATGTAGAAAATATTCTTCTAAATTACATAAGGTCCCCGGGTTGTTGGGGACATCCAAGGAGATGAGGTATCAAACACCAGGTGCTCACGGACGCCAATCCCTCCCCCCCGCCCCACCCCAGAGGGGTCTGCTTGCCAGTTGGAAAGTTCCGTCTTTGCGGCATACGCACAATCTTTTTGGCTGGCCAAGCTGAGGCTGCTGGAAACACCTGCGTTTGAGCTATCCAGGCTGCTGCCAAGATGAAGCTTCCTCATATGCCTCACAACGGCCGTGGCATTGAAAGCTTGCTGAAATTTAAGAAAGGGAAAAAGCAGACAAAAGAGTCCAGCTAATTAGAAAAGACTCAGACTGCGTCCGTTCGTTTCTCCTGTTACCCCGAGCATTTGAGATGTCTTAGAACATTCTCATGATACTTGAGAAAGGAAGCTCATCTTGACCCTTCTTCCAAAACGATGTGAATTTATTGCGTCCCCCACCCCACCCCGCCCCGCGAGATGTATTTTGGAGATTTAAACAAATAGTCTTCTTCTGACATAGTAAACATCTAGAATGAATGCATACCAATTCTCTCCATAATGTTAGAGAAGTGACTTTTAGAATCAAAGGCCTATTATTATAATACAGTATCTTAAATGAGAGTTTATAATGAAGTTTTAAGGTAGGTTTTATTTTCCTGTTATTGGCGTTCATGTCCTAATGAATAGCATTTCCTCCAAATGAAGTAGGTCAGTAGAATTTGTTTCATTTCTGTACAGTCTTTCAGGGCGGAACAGACAGCTCTTAATTTACGCACACTGATCAGAACCTAAGGTTTAGGCTTTCCTAAATAGGGTTTCCTCTCCTGCTCTCATATAATTTTAAGAGAAGTCAACTCTTAAGGTTCCAGCAATGGAAAGGCAGACAACAGGAATTGCAGTCTTAAGAAACAGCAACGGAGTAACGAACCAACACTGTTGCTGGGGGGATATGAAATCGTGTACCTTATCCCTCCCACACCATGACACCCCATTTGAGTCTTAAACCTCATTAGCAATTAGCTAATTAGCAAGATTTTTCTGGGTGAGGTTCTGGGGATTTTCATCCAACTCTGGTGATAGCAATCTTTAGAGATAATAAATGCTCCAACCACAGGGCAATTTTCATGGGAGTTATTGTGTTCACTGGGACTGAATAAAGCAGGCGACTTACTCTCCATTTGCTTTTTGCGAAGTTCTTCCGGATCTGGGCACTGACAGACTCATGGATGTTTTTGTTGAGGGCTGTGTCCCCAGCGATCCTGAAACAAAGGCAAAGATGCTTCTTTAAAACAGTTTGTTGGCAGGTGGCAGGGGGTGGTGCTATGACCTGGGTCCCATGCTGGTTTCCCAGGAAAGTGTCAGTCCTGTGCCCATCCCAAGGTTCCCTAAGAGGGTGATTTGTTGCTGCCCTTCCAGGCACCACTGTGTTCAAAGTCCTGTCCCTCTTCTAAACTCTGCACCCTCCAGGGGATTTGTGGACCTTTCTGCCTGGTTTCCACTTCTTCCCCTTTGGCCGCAGTTCCTACAACAGCAACCTGAATCTGGTTTCCCCTCCTGCTCCCTCCGTCTCCCTCTCCATCAGCCCTCTACCCTGTAGCCCTTCCCCTCAGAGGTCCTGATGAGTTTCCTGCCTGGTCTGACCACCAGATCCCTACCCAGGGCCATCTTCCCAGCTTCTTCCTGCTTGAGGCTCCTTCTTTGTACCCTCTCCAGGCCCACCGCTCCATGGACCCACTCACACCCTGGGGCCAAAGCATCCTTCTGGCTCCATTCCAGCAGAATGAAGCTCAGCCACATTCTCTTTGCCCACACCAGGCATCCCCCACCTCCTCTGCCCTCAGTGAGAGGGTGCCCAGCCTCAGCTCACCCCTGCTTGGCAAATCTTCTTCCCTTGCATTTCGGAAAAGTTCTCTAAACACTCAGCTGGGTAACTGATATCACTCGGCATTAGCTTGTTCTATAGCCTTCTATTAGCAGAGAAGAAGGGGGGTTTGCTCTTCACCTCTGTCCTTAGAAACTACCTAGGAATTACCCCCTCACCCTAGTCCTTTCTCCACCTGCTTTACCACCTCTCCTTCCCTCCCATCCTTCTCCCACTCTCCCTGGTCTCACACCGCCCTGACCTCTTCGATTGGCTCACAATCTCCAGTCTCATCGGTCACCCGGAGGTCACTCGTTTCTTCCCCCACACATTCCTCTCAACCTCAGCACCGTCCCTCCCCTACATTTAATCATCTGGCCTTCCTTCCAGTTTCAGAGGAAACTGTGTTTTGCTCTCATTTCACTTCTGCACTTAGAACCTTCCATATCTTCCCTTTCATTTAACAACTATTAAATTCTAGCTTGGCATCTGATACCTATGAAATAATCTTTTGCATTTTAGAGGTTCAGGGGCATATAGATGCCAGGAACACTGACCATCCTTTCTGGCTGGAAGGTGGCTGGTTAATGAGGAAACCTGTCATCTCCCAGACCCAGATGGCCCTGGACCCAAAACAGCCCGGATGCCACCCACTGTGATGTCCTACCGTTTCAGGACATGAGGGGAACAAGCTTAGGGCTTATTCAGACAAGAAATCCTCCCTGAGTAAAAAAATATGTCCCTACCTACCCAACCTTTCACTTTAGAATTGAAAACATGGCTGCAGGATTGGACCCTTAGTCTGTGCCAGGCTGGGCCTAAGTCTGGAATACAGTCCGATTATTCCCAGGTATGAGTGACCCCCGCCCCTCCTAGCATAGACTCTGTCTTTTTCCCAGCAGGGCTGGAAAGACTTAGCAAAGGGGACACTCTGAAATGAACTCAAGAGAATCAGGCTTCTATTTCCAACAACTGCCAGTTGCCTCCTGCCCCCCCCCCACCACCAGTGAAACAGAATAGCAGGCAAATCCATCCAAAACAAGAGAAACAAGGTTAGGGGACAGTGGACATCTTTATTAAGCTTCTCCTTCTAGATAATTCATGTGACTGTTTCCTCCTGCCCCGTTTTGTTTTTTTTTTTTTAAGATTTTATTATTTATTTGACAGAGAGTGAGCGTGAGAGAGAGAGAGATCACAAGTAGGCAGAGAGGCAGGCAGAGAGAGAGGGGGAAGCAGGCTCCCTGCTGAGCAGAGAGCCCGATGTGGGGCTCGATCCCAGGACCCTGAGATCATGACCTGAGCTGAAGGCAGATGCATTAGCCCACTGAGCCACCCAGGCATCCCTCCTGCCCCATTTTTAAAAGCTACATCCTCAGGGCTCCTGGGTGGCTCAGTCAGTTGGGCGTCTGCCTTTGGCTCAAGTCAGGATCCCGGGGTCCTGGAATTGAGCCCCGCATTGGGCTCCCTACTCAGCAGGGTGCCTGCTTCTCCCTTTCCCTCTGCTCCTCCCTGCCCCAATCCCATTCTCTCGCATGCGCAAATAAATAAATAAAATCTTTTAAAAAAAACCAAAAAACTATGTCTTCAGAAAAGGGGGCCAATTCCAACTTATTGGTGGCCAGCACTTTCTTGGAAACGAGCAGGCAGAAGGGGTGGGAGTACGGGGTGTCTCAGGCTGAGGACCGCCGCAGGGCAGAGCCGTGCTCCAAACCAAACAGACCAGCAAGGGGGTCAGGGAGGCTCCCTTCTCTGTGGGTTAGCATGGGCTGAGATGTAAGGAAAATGCAAACTTCTAATTATTTCAGGAATGTTCAGTGCTCACTTCCCTCTGTCTTGGGGCATGCTGCGGCTGAGTAAGACCCAGCAGGGCAGACGTGGCCCAGAGGCTCCCATAAGGTCCTCTCCTTGGGGACATTGGCCCATGACAGCACACAGTCTTCCTCAAATGGACCCCATCACGGAAATGCCTACTCTGATCATGAGCCAGGGGGTTCACAATGACGACATATGACTCTCGCCACGCTCAGTGCTACGACCTTCAGCGTTATTCATCGACGACTCTGGAGGCATGGAATATTAGGATCGGAAGAGACTCTGGTTGTACCTCGATGGTCCTAGGAACTGAACAATGCCTCCGACCCAGGAGAATTTCCTTATAAATCGGTATACGCACACACATATAAAGCTATGGACACCCACATTTCATTCATGTCTCTTTTGCTTTCCAGTTTTTTTTAATAGTTTATTTTTAAGTATCTCTACACCCAATAAGGGGCTTGAACTCACAACACAAGATCAAGAGTTGCACGTTCTACCGACAGAGCCAGCCAGGAGCCACACTTTGGTTTCCAGTTTTAACCCCGTGCTAACAACGCAGATAGCATTCATGTAAATGACCCTTCGCGAGGTCTGTCTGGCACTCCTTCTCCACACACAAATCATCAAACTCATCTCTCCCTACCTTCTGGGTTTTGTGTTTCATACCTCATCTGCTGTACTTCCACAGCTCTGATTTTGCATTTTTCTAGTCACTTGCTTAAGACAGTCTTGGTGATGCCTGTGTATACCCCAGACAGGGGTTTCCCAGAGCCCTGGGCTGCTTCCTGCTTCCTATGGGTCAACCGCAGCTAGGTGGACTGGAGCCCAGAAGAGGGGAGGGGTCTCCGTGAACACTGAGGGGAGGGCTGCAGGTGCCCCCTGGCCTGGCCGACACACGATGTGCCCCCCGGGGTGGGGGCCCCACTGCCAAGTGTCACCTAGGGCATGGATGCCCAGCAATCATCACTTTGGTTTCCATGTTGCTGTAACTAGAGAGGGAGGTCCAGAACAACCTGAAGCAGACAAACAAACCCTATTGAGGTGCTTCCTTGTAAGGAGGGATGGGTTCCCATCTGGTCCCCTGCCAGTCCCTCCCCCTTGGCCAGCGACCAGCGGGCTGGAGCCTCCTTAACCATGCACCGCCACGAAAAGGCAAAGCTTCAAGTGACATAGGCACCCAAAAATCTGGCAAGAGAGGCTGAGTGACCTTGACACACACACAGCTTTGAAAGGAGCCCTGTCCTGTCCCAAGTGGGTGTTTGGGGCCAAGGGATGGTGTCTGTGACTGCCAGAGGCCCTTCTGGTGCCAAGAGGCCTTGATTAAGTTGGAAGAGCAAATGCAGAAGAAGAGATGTTCTCCGGCTAGAATCCATGTGCCAAGAACACAGCTTCCAGAATGGGGTGTGGAGAAAGCCATCCTTCCCTGGAATCATGACTGCACTCTCTGCCAGCTCTCTGTTGAACCTGTGCTCTTTGCCCAGGAACTTTTACATAAAAGAAATAAGGATATCAGAAATACAGACAGTGCGGGGGGGGGAGCATTTCAATGATGTTTGAGTCAAATGCCTTAATTTTTACCATTTTCTAATATTTGACTTCCTGGAACTTGGGACACGCACGGGAGCAATGAATCAGCACTGGCAGAAACCCAGCTCTGGAGTAAAGAGGCATCAATCTGTGCACCTCGCAAGCTACTGAATCCCGAGGGGACCCAGGCAAATGACCCAGAAGTCTCTGTCTCCAGCCTGACCTCTTTCCTTGTCTCTAGACTCACTCCGGACCCTCCCTCCTGCTCCTCTCAGTGGAGGCATCTGACCGGCCCTTCCTTTCAGCTGGAACCCTGGCCATAACCTCAGGGCCCCCTGTCCCACCAGTGCCCTGCCCCAAGCTGTGGCCCCTGCCCCTGGCGTGTCCCTTGTGGTCTCCATCTGCCCCATCCTTATAGGCAGGCCCCCTCCCCCTTCTCTGGGCCAGCCTCCCCTCCAGTCTATACCTCCCTGCCAGCCTCCCTTGGCCCAGTACCAGCAATTCGTCTCCCTCCTCCCATCCTGCAGCAGGCTAAGCTTTCTGAGATGCAAATCAGATCACCAGCTTAAAACCTGTCAGAGGCCCCCAATGTCCGAAGGGAAAAGTACAAATTGCTTAGTATGACAATAAATTAATGGCAACTTGTACAGATGGGAGAAGATGTATTAGGTACTGGGTCCTCTTCTTATTTGTATGTAATGGCTCATTCCATCCCTGGAAAAGCCCTATAGGATAAAGACTGCCATTATTTATGATCTCAGTTCGGCACAGGGGCCCCAGGGCTCAGGAGGTCGCCCACGCAGTAACAAAGGGTGAAGCAGGGAACGGGACTCAAAGCTTGTACTACCCCGAGCTCGCGCCAGAATCCGCTTGTCGTGCCTTCCTTTCCAGTCCCCTCCTGCCTTGCTCCTGTGTCCACTCCCCTGCCCCCAGCAATACCGAGTGCTGTGGCTTCAGGAGAGAGACACGGTTTAGGCCCTGATCGTGGCCCAGGCTGCTCGCCCTGCCAAGAACTCCTCTCCTCCCCTGACAGCCTGGTGACGGCCTCACGGTGTGGGGCTCACCCCCTCTGGGAAGTTCTCTGCCAGGCCCCTCAGGAAATGACCTCCCTTCTTTGGTTTTTCAAAAATGTTTGGTGAAGCAGAGACTAGGTTTCAGCTGGTATGCTTCCTGTCTCCCACAGAGCGAGGTTGGATGCGTGAACACATCCAAGAAAGTAAGTTGCTTCCCTTCCTTAGAGGTCACTTTCCTCCTCCGTTAGATCACCCCCACAGTCTCATACTTTTAGTCTCATAGAAGATAAATACGTGCTGGGACGTAAAGTCCAACAGGATGGTCCACACTGCTCTAACATATATCTGGAAGCTGCTGCAGAGTAAATCCTTAAAGGTCCACCCCGAGGAAACAACTGTTTCCACTACCTACAGAAGGGGGTGGATGTTAATTACACTTCCTGCAGGAATCATTTTGCAATATATACACAGGCGAAGCCATGTAGCTCTACACCTTATACTTAAACAGTGTGCGTCAACCACAACTCGACAAAACCCGAAGAAGTCAAGGTCTCCTACAGCCCTGAAGGCCAATTGCTGGTAAAGTAAGAAAAGCTTCACTAACTTTATCATCACATACTTTGACCTATTGTCCAATGTAACTTGTTACAAAATAAAGTATCATTTATTTTAAATTTATTTAAAATATATATGACTGGGCGCCTGGGTAGCTCAGTTGCTAAGCAACTGCCTTCGGCTCAGGTCACAATCCCAGAGTCCTGGGATGGAGCCCCGCTTCGGGCTCCCTGCTCAGCAGAAAGCCGTTTCTCCCTCTCCTGCTCCCCGCTGCTTCTGTTCCCTCTCTCTCTCACTGTCTCTCTCCCTCTGCAAGTAAATAAACAAAATCTTAAAATACATACATATATAAGACCAAATCTGCCTCCTTATTTGGAAGTATCTTTCCCTCCCCTTCAGCCATTCCTGTCTTCCTTTTACTTCTTACAGGGTGGTGCCGAAGAACATTTATTTTGGAATCAGTTCTGGCCGGAAACAAGTGTGGCTTCACCATCACGTAGTGCTTCTGCAGTCTTGGCTCAGGCTAAGTTACTTTCTTTCTAAATCGATTTTCTTATTTCTGAAATGGAGACAAAACCTACCTCACAGGGTTATTATAAAGAAAAAACATGAGATGATGTTTTAACACAATTAGAACAGAATCTAAAATAATTAGTGCTCTGTAAGTGATAGCTGTGGTCATAGATTAAAATACAACTCTTCCTTGACTTACAATGGAGTTCTGTCCCAATAAACCCATCGTAAGTGGAAACTATCATACGTCGAAAATGCATTCAATACACCAAACCTGCCAAACATAGCTTAGCCCCGTCCACCCTAACCATCCTCAGAACACCCATGGTAGCCTACAGTTGGGCAAAATCATCTAATACAAAGCTCCTTGTATGATCAAGTGTTGAGTAGCTCATGGAATTTCCTAAATATGGCACTGAAGGTGAAGAACAGAAGGGCTGTACAGGGACAGGACGGGTGTCAGCAATTGGATGTCAACCGTAGTTGATTGTGTGGCTGACGGGCACTGTGGCTGCCAGCACCCGACCTCACAAGAAGATCATCCCTGATGCAGCTAGCCCAAGACAAGGTCACAATTTAAAACCGGAAGTACAGTTGCTACTGAATTGGTATAATTTTGGGACCATGGTAAAGTCAAAAAAATCATGAAGTCGGGGACTTCAGTGAAACCAGCTTACGGCACTCCCCTGAGTAGGTGCCCTTTGGAAGACCAACCAGCATGTGATGCTCGGGAGGAAATGCTACAGGTGGTGGTGGAACAAACATGGGGCAGTATCCTAGAGGACTTTTTCAGGGCATTTCTCCTTCAGTCAAAGGCTGTTTATTGCCATCATACCACATGTTCTACGGTTCCTGGTCTTTGTTTCCAAATGGATGCTCCTAGTGGTTTAATGCGAGCCTAACAAAGCATTTCCTATGTCCCAGATCTGTGCTAAACCCTTAACAGGTATGATCTCCATGATTTCTTACATCAGCTTTGTAAAGTAGGTATCCTTGTTCTCATTTTAAAGATAAGAAAATTGGGGGCGCCTGGTTGGCACAGTTGGGTTCAGGCTTAGTAAGTGGCTCAAAACAAGGGGGCTTCAAGGGCACTGCTGAAAATGTAGTATCGAATGTCACGAACTATCAGGGAATGCCTCTGGGGTTGAAGACACATGAACTTGAATAACATTTTCTTTCTTTTTTCTTTCTCTCTCTTTTTTTTAGGTAGGCTGGAGCCCAACTCGGGACTTGAATTCATGACCCTGAGATCACAACCTGAACCAAGATTAAGAGTCAGATGCTTAATTGACTGAGCCACCCAGGTGTCCCCAAAAGCATTTTAAAAGGAAAAGAATATATAACCTCAATTCACTTACTTATTGAACGGTAAGCTCAAGGACTAAAACTCCCATCTTCATGCCTCCCTGGAGAATTACCTTCAAAAAAATTGATCCCAACATACTTCCTGTAGAATGAAAAGCCTACAGCTATCTTTTGCACACTGAACTTGTCATCTGTGCATTCAGGAGGCTGTGTCCCAAGGGAAGAGAAGAGTTCAAGTGTAGCCTTGGGGACGGGATGAAAGCCAGTGGTCAGAATGAGATGCAATCCTTCCCCAGTTACAAACAGCTGAGAGGAGGTTCAATCTGCAAAGGTGTCAGTGCGCTCTTCCTCATGGGTGACTTTTCTTACCATGGGTGCCGAGCGGCTTGCTCACAAGTGTATCTTTTATTTGGATCTTTCTCCATCAGGTTCCGGATGAAGTCTTTTGCTGTTTAGAAAGAAAGCACAGGGGAATCAGGGTGTGGCTGGACGTGTGACAATTGGATGCTGCTGGGTCTTTGGAAAAGGGCATGGAGCATGAAAAACAGCTTAGCCTCACCACTGACCCTATGGCACTTTGAACACAAAAGGTGGGTGGGAACTGGCATTTGGGAGAAAGGGAAGCCGAGACTTGGCACCATGAGAGGGGACAGTGAATGGGGAGGAAGCCATGCCAGGCCTGGGACCCTGGCTGCCCAGCTCAACGCCCTTCCCTTGGCAGTTAGTGACATCTTTGGTTCAGAGATCAAACATCTTCGTCACCATGTGCCTCTCGCTGAGCTCATGGCTGCCTTAAGAAGCTGCTTTGTTGATGTCCTCTCTGCGTGTTAGACACCGCTGAGTCACCAAAATCCCCTTAACTTCTGCTAAGGCCACCAGGTCCTGGGCAGGCCCTTTGGAAGACCAACCAGCATGTGGTTTTGCTGAGCCTTGGTTTTGACCTTTATCCCTGAGGAGGAAATGGTGAATGTTTCTGGGGACGTTTCAGTGTGGCACAGTAAGTAGTTGAGACGTGGGTGCTGGAGTGAGGGTCTGGGTTCAAATCTCAGCTCGGCCACTTACTAGCTGTGTGGCTTCTGTCAAGGTATATCAGACACTGAAGGGGCCTCGGTTTCCTTACCTGTCCAGTAGCAATACTAGTAACAGCCATCTGATAGGTTGTCCTGAGGACTGAGTGAATTAGCATGTGTGCAGACCTTATGGTGGTAGGCACACAGTAAGAACTAAATAAATGTTAGCCAACATTGTTTCAGTCCTGGAGCCTCCAGATCAAGGCATGGCTAAGAATAGTGGAGGGGTCAGTCCTGTCCCTCAGTGTGGCTCTGGTCAGATGTCCCCAAACCTGCCTTCCGCTTTGCAAGTCAAGTCCAAGTACGTAACTCAAGGAACTTCCTTGGGAGCCTCAGGACCACCCTGAAACCCCCAGGTCAGTCAAGGTCAAGAGGTCTGGATATGAGGGTCCTGCCCCTGGGGAGCCAAGAGACCTACCAGAGTCGGAGATGTCATCCCAGTAAGGGGAGTCGAACTCATATTCTGCCTTGAGGATCTGTTCGAAGAGCTTGGAATCATTTTCATCATAAAAAGGAGGGTAGCCACAGAGCCTGGAAGACAAGACAGTGTGAGGATCTGCAACGGCTGTCTATCTGCTGTGTCACTGGACATTTGGCCTGGAAGGGAAGAGCGGTCTTCGCCAAGTGGAGAAAACTGCACTGTGTGTGTTGCAAATACAACCTAAGCAAAGGAATCACGCCTCCTAGGGGCAGAGGTGGCACAAAACCAAAGCTGTGATTAGAGAAATCGCAAAAAGGAGATGACCTAAAGCAAACACAAACCCAAGCCCACCTTTCCACGTTATTGATCAGATCCCAGACACTCCCAAACTGACCCCTACACCTTCTGTGTGTACAAACTATTGACCTTATCATCTGTAATGTTGTCCCCAACAGTGAATGGGTTGGTAACCAAAGTTGCTACAAGTTGCCCTAAAATACACATTATCAACCAACCATGCCCAAATTGGGTGTTAGGACGGTTACAGTTTGGGCCATTAATATACAATAAATATAAAAGCAGAACACGCATCATAATACTATCACCCCTCTGCCAGTGAACCCTTTCAAGGTCAATTTTTGGAAAATTGTATTGCAACGCTGGCGCGAGTAACATGGGAGTTCTACGGGTATGGACAGCCATCTGACCAACGTAACAGGAGGAGAAATTTTCCTTAAATGTCCCCAATACAATTTATGCCACAAGACTCTGGGTTCTCACTTCATTTCTGCTTTCTGCTCTGATGTCACCTGTACCCTTTGTAGGTCACTGGTACATGTACCGGACCAAGATTTCCTCATTTGAACGAGGAGGCCGCACGAGGAAATTGCTAATATTCTTTCTGGCCTGAACACAGTGTGGCTCTATGATCCCCTCTTTCAGTTTGTTTGCATGGCTATGAAACCTTGGGAGGGAGCTAGTACATGGTGAGGCCTCCGTCGGGCAGGGCATCCGAGAAGGGGTAGGATTTAGGCTGTAGCTCTAAGGGATGGGCAGAGCAGAGGCAAGCCTGCATTTTTCTGCAAGACCTGGCGCAAAGCTGCATCATGTAGAACATGGTTCCGGGCCCACAGTAGCCCAGAGGACAGCCCCGCCGTGGGAGTTCTGCCCCCAAAAGAGCTCTGAGCCTCCCCAGATTGCCAAACTTTGTTCCAAACACAGCTCCAGCCTAGAGACCTGTCGAATGAGAACGCATGAACGGGAATCCACAGGCCTGTGAAGGATGAGGCGGCTGGCAAATAAGAAACCCAATAAAGGTTCAAAACGCAGACTTGGCACATTCATTCTTCAGCTGCTCCTGCTGTGACACTTGGCGTCACCGGTCACGCTGCCCAGGGAGAAGGCTGATGACATTTTTAAGGGCTATGAGACATTGTGCGGGCTGATAAGATTCAAAATCATCTATTCCCACAAGGCTGGTTTAGGGGCTAAATGCCTGGAAAATTTCATTTTTTAAAGATTTGCTGCTTTTGGCAAGATGAATATGAGCCCAGTGCTTCTGAAACCACTGAGGGCACATTTTACTGCCCAGGAAACCCTGGAGCCAGGAGATGGATATGTAAATGTTTCCCATAATGAGGATTTGGGCTCAATGAAATGTGCATATTAGGAAAAGCAGACTGAGCAAAATGTTAGTTCGTCTTGGAAAATAACTAAATTTTAGATATGTGAGGTTTTTGTTTATTAACAACTGAATGTGTTTTATTTTACAGTTTGGCTTTCTTTTCAAGGGGAAAAAAAATCTTTAAGGAAATTCCAAGAAAGATGTATTCTTCTTGTGCCAATTTTCTTAATGTATATCCCAATTTCTTCTGGTTTTTCAGCTCTGCTGGAAGGGGGATAGGATACTGTTTATGCGGCTACATGGAGGACGGGAGAAAAGGACATGGATCTAGGCTGGAGATTAAGTTAACGTTAGGAAAGAGGATTTTAAAATGAGGATTGGAAAAGAAGAGAAAGACAATTAAAAGACGCAGAATCTTCCCGGGATCTAGAAATTTCACAGAGCTCCCTAGACAGGCTATTCCATTAGTAGGAAAACAAACAACTTTGAGCTATTTATCATGTGGAAACTCTATGTTCCTATTTTACATATCAAACCGTTTAAATAATGTACAAATGATCTCACCAAGCATACTCAAAGGTGATAAAGCCATTCTCAACTGTTCTAGATCTAAAAGTCTATAGTTCAGAACAACAACTCAACTAGCCAACCTAACAACTGAGGGTTACGCCCAATTATAGGCAACACATCCCCAGGGCTCATGGATAGCCTCCATCCCAGCGTTGGAATGGTCATCCAAGGAGAACCCTTATACCTTCAGGCTTTCCCACTTTGCCATCTTATCTCCCTGTAGCACACTCTCGCAGATGTACTGCTAGATTCTAGTTTAGCCTTGACCGAGCACTTGTTTTGGGTCAAAAATGCACTAAGAGCTTTGCGATATTATCTCACTAAAACTCCCCTCCCCCAGGAGGTGGGCGTTCCCAACACCTTCTGTTTATCCTTTAGAGCTAATTTCCACTCATTCTGGGTCCTGGGAGATTGACCTGCAGGGATACCTGAATGAGGGGTAAACTCCATGCCCTCTGGTAGGGGTTGGCCAGTGGGGTCCCCAGTGGAGATGGTAAAGGAAGGGGGCTATCAGGGCCAGGGTATATGCAGGCTGGCTCTACCCCACTGCTCCTCTAGGGAGAGACCCTCCCAGGAACTCGTCTTTTGGATTGTGCTAACTGCTCCCTACTTCCCTTCACTACCTTGGGTCTAGGGGTGTTTATGGCTCATCTGCTATGAAGCTCAGGGTCACAGTCCCTTCTCCAATTCTTATTTTGAAGGCAAAGAAACTAATATGGAGCAAAGTCAGGACTCAAGGCCCATCCATCTGATTTCAGGTTTGTGTTCTTGACTATTTTGCTTATTCACTCAAGGGAAGGAGGCTTGAGAATTGAACCTGATGTTTCAGTCTTGACTTTGAATGCTCTCTGTAGGTCATTTAGCTTGCCCACCTGCCCCTTTATCTGTTAAGTAGAACTCGGTGATTGGACCCTACTTTTCCAACCCCATTTCCCACATTCCGTGTCTTGTAGGCTAAGATGCTCGGAGTTCACTCCCCACTGGGCACTTTTTATTTCTGGACCAAGGTAAACATATATACTTGACCTGGGCTGCCCTTCCCCCACCACTCGCCTCTGACACACCTTGAAGACCAGCTGGAGTGTTACTAGGAAGACCCAGCCCCTTTCTACCAAGTATGGTAGGTGCTCTGCTCTGTGCTCCCCAGGGCAGTGGGCAGAACTCCCCAGTGACACTTACTACTTGCTACTGTGAGCTGTTCTTGAGCTCCTTAAGGCAGGTCAATGTCTTAGGTCCTACCTAAGATAAGGCAGGACCATGTCTTAGATCTTAATCTCATCTCTAAATTCTCAGTGGCCAGGCCCAAGGTCTGCCCATAGCAGATGGTGAGTAAATGCTTGGATGAACAAACATACTCTTGAAGAAGAGGCTTCACCAATGGCTGTGAAGCCCCCTGGCTAGGCTCTGAAATAGAGACAAGGATCTATGGTGTAGGAGAGCCCACCACTAGCCCAGGGAGCCCTCAGAGATCCCACCTACCCTCCTGTATAATACCCCCACCAGGAGGCAGTATGCCCTGCATTGTTGATAGACATTCCAGAAGAACTCAATGTGTAAGGCCCAGTGTTGGGAGCAACCCAGCCTATCTTTGTAGAGAGAATGCAATGTGGTTTGGATGATCTAAAGTGTCTCTGTTGGGCATGGACACATCTCATAAAGGAGAAGAGTTTTCATGACGGAGAAGGCTTTTCACATGAATATAAAAATCGACAACGGCCAACCATGGCTGATTCAGCAGTGCGCAAGTTTTCTTGGAAACTGAAATACTCTAGTAGATTAAGAGCTCCTGCTGAGAGGCTCTGCAAGTTTACTGGGGTAATTATGCTACATATATTCTTCTTGCTTGTTTGCCCTTGGCCACGTATCTGTGTCCCTCTGAAAACAGATGCCTGCTAACAGGATCACAGGTACAGTGTAGAACTATAGTTAATAATACTGTACTGAACACTAGACATTGGTTAAGACAGTAGCTCTCAGGTGCTCTCAAAACAAGAAAACACAGTAACAATGTCAGATTATATGTTAATTAGCTTGACTAGTAATCATTTCACTACGTATATTAAATCATCATGTTATAACTTCAAATATATACAATTTTTATTGAAAAATGAAGTCATGGTAGAGAAAGTACGAGCCATGCTTAACATCAGGCAGTAAGTTTTTTAAAAAGTGTTATTAAGGGGGCACCTGGGTGTCTCAGTTTGTTAAGCATCTGACTTCTGCTCAGGTCATGGTCTCAGGGTTCTGGGATTGAACCCACTTCTGGCTCTGCACTCAGCAGGGAGTCTGCTTGTCCCTCTCCCTCTGCCGCTCCCCACCCTCATGCTCTTTCTCTCTCTTAAATACATAAAACCTTTAAAAAATGTTATTATGGTAAAAAAAAAGTCTTAACATGAGATCAACCGTTTTAACAAATTCTAAGTGTCTAGTATAGTACTGTTGACTCCAGGCACAATATCATACAGCCCAACTCTAGAGCTTACTCATTTGGCATAACTGAAGTGTTATGCCTGTTGCTTCCCCATTTCCCCCTCCCTCCGGCCCCTGTCAACCACCATTCCAGTCTCTGATTCTATGAATTTGACTATTTTAGATACTTCATGTAAGCAGAATCATGCAGCATTGGTCTTCCTGTGACTGATTTACTTCATTTAGTCTAATGTCCTAAAGGTTCATTCAATATTCCACCATATGTGTGGACCACATTTTCTTTATCCGTTCATCTATCAATGGACATTTACATTGTCACCACATCCTCAGTACTGTGAATAATGCTGGATGAACATGGGTGTGCTAATAGCTCTTTGAGATCCTTATTTCAATTCTTTTGGATATATACCTAGAACTGGGATTGCTGGATCATATAATAAGTTCTAATTTTTTTAAGGTTTATTTGAGAGAGAGAGGGCAGGGAGG